TTATTAGACAGCAAAGGATTAATTTCAACTGTCATGCTGATGATACTCAGCTATATGTGTGATCCAAAATGCTGCAGCCGGAGATCTGGTGAAATTTAAAAAGAGAGATCATATCTCTCCTATCATAGCTTATTTTCCTTGGCTTCCTGTTAAATCCAAAATAGAATTTCAAATCCTCCTTCTCACATATAAAGCCTTAAATGGCCAAACTCCATCTTACATCAGAGATATGATTGTTTCTTATGTTTCAAACAGAGCATTCCGCTCTCATTCTGCAGGTTTACTAGTAGTTCCTAGATTTTCTTTAAGTAGAATGGGAGGCAGATCTTTTAGTTATCAGGCTCCTCTACTGTGGAACTGACTACCCGTTTTAGTCCATGAGGCAGTCTACTGTCAAGGGTAGGCGTTTTGATAAAGCTTATAGTTAGAGTGGCACAGGTTATCCTGAGCTATCTCTGTAGTTATGCTGCTATAGGCTTAGACTGCTGGAGGACATAGGGACCCTTTTTTCATCATTCTGCTTCATTATATCTCCCATTCTGTAGAATTTGTTAGTTCAATCTCTAACCTTATTCTCTCTGCTTTTTTTCATAGTAGCTTCATCTGGCCTGTTCCTGTTTGGTTGTGACCCCATCCTGGAGAGAAACATCAGCTGTGCTGCTCCCATCAACACCTGTGTTGTTCAGTGTAGCCCTGTTCCCCTGACTGTGACTGGCTGGATGTGCTCTCTTCGTCCTCTGACATGGGAGTTGGATCGGAGCTCATCTGCCCGGCTGAGTGTTTCCTGTACGGGGCCGCCTGTGGAGCTGGTTGACCAGTTCCTTTGTATCTCTGCTTCTTTCTGTATGTCTGCTTCTGTGTCCTTGAACCCCAGTCAGCCTCGGTAGATGGCCGCTCACACTGAGCCTGGTTGTTCTGGAGGTTTATTCCTGTTAAAACTGGGTTTTCCTCTCCACTGTTGCTATAAGCATGTTTGGTGTGAGGGATTGCTGAAGAGTCAATGAGTCGATGCAATCAACTGGTTTTCTTTAGACAGAAAACTTTTAATCAATTTGACTGTATGATCTGGTTCAATTGTCTCTGAAAAGTAAGACAACATGTGTCGTAAATTGGCAGTAAATAAATTAACTGAATTGAATCACCTCCATTTACCCCCCATGCAAGCCAGGCCTACCAATCACAATGAAGAAATTATGCTGACAATGCCATGTTTAAGTTTTCATCTGACCATAGAAACTTTTATTATTTGCCGGGTCTGTCGCTCCGTTGGCTTGTGGCAAGCTCCAAATATTACTTTTTTAGATTTGATATTGGTACTCTTAAGCCTTTTCCCCTTGAAATTAGCAGGTTAAAGGGAGTTTTTCTATTTGGCTCCCTTCCTATTTGCAAAAAAAGCTGGGTCTGACCTCGTGCTGGCAAGCATCATGGCCTCTGTCCCCAACCGCCGCTTGTCTAGTAACACCATAACGCTGGATTAGCGTTGATGATGTCACCAGTGGGACAGAAATCAGGAAAGATAACAATGGAGAGCAACATGGAAGGGAGCCAGGGCGTAGTAAGTGTGTTTCATTGCATGGCTCTTTTGTCCGTCTGAATCCCTCTCACCAGTGCTACTCCATGTTTACAGAATGGAAGCAGAGTTCTTTGGTATCACGTAAATTATTGGGTCGACCCGGGTCTGATGTCCCCACTGTATGCCAATTGGAGCCAAGTCATTTGAAGGCGATTTTAGCCCAGGTTGCCACGGTAAGTGAGCCATTCCCACAGGCCACTAAAAGCTGGTTATTTGTTGGTTTAAACTGGTTTTTCAGTGGGCAGTGGAACACTTTTGATGAATGCAAAGCAGATTGGTATCCGCTCTAACACGAGTTGTTGATTTCTGCACCTCCATAACTACCTCTTGGCTGCTTCTCTAATTGATGCCTTCCCTTCACTTAGTCCTTATTGCGAATATTACAATAATTCATTGAAATTTGCTGTCAATTTGAAAAAGGTAAATCAGTTAAAGTAACATACTGTAACACCTTGGCAAACTGCAGTAAGTTTTTGACATATTTTTGAAGATCATGGTAGTTACAGATTTAAAAGGAAGAGCAGATTATAAAGACTGTTGTAAAGACTTACTTTAATCTTAATCCCTTACTGCTGGTTGAACCTTTTAAAGTGTCCAGAACGTCTTTACATGTATGCTTGATTAAGTGTTTAGCTGCAGTTAAAACAAGCCTTGTCACAACCTAGTTTAAACCTGACTAATCTGTTCTCATGAGGATTTAATTCTTCAAATCAGTCAAGCAGCAACCATCAGACTTTAACATCAAGTTGCATGATGCACATGATGTTACTTAACATGAGCCAGCTGATCAGTACTTATACTCTCTCATCAGAGGGCCTAAAATATATATTCAAGGCAATTGTGATGTCACTGAAAAAATAATATATAATATTGTGTTATCTGTTTATAATATAATAAAGAAGAAAATGCGCAGAAAATATGAAAATGAAATAAAAAAGCATGTTTGTCTTAAATGCAATCACTATCAGATTCCAGTTTAAACAGTTCACAGCCCCAATGTGACCGCATGAGCAGAGGGACAGTGAAGATATCACAAAGCAGTCCAAGGTGAAACCTTGGATGCAAATGGATCTTCCAAACAGACAACGGATTAAATAATAATGATGTGAGCTATCTGGAGAGGGAATCAGGAGTGAAAAAGTGTGCAAGAATGGGGGCTTACAAACACAAATCAGCCATAACTTAAGTTAAGTTCTGTTACCTTTCATCAGGAGGATTGGGACAAAATTCTGATTTAACTAATGTGAGAATCTTGCAGAAAAAACACTCAATGCTTGATCCAAATCATACAATTTATCCAAAAATATGTTAAATATTGAGGAAAACTATGTTAACGTTAATTTTGGACAAGGTAATGAATATTTTTGTTCCCATTACTACTGCTGGTATATCTATGCGAATGTCGAGATGCTAACTTGCATTTGCATCAGAATTTTAAACTAAGCCTTTGTGCTTTGAACTAATGACTTACTGTGGAAGACATTTAAGGATAAAGCTGAGAATTTGGTCTCTTCTGCTGTGAGTCATCCATCAAGTCTACAATAAAAGGAGTTTTTTTGCCTGACGGTTGAAATTTATGGTCGCCCTTCTCTGCCCTAATAACTCAAAGCGCTGTGTCAGAGCTTGACAGCCCTTGCCGAAAACAGCAGCCCTGTTATCAATCAAAAAACACTTGCATATGTTTAAACTTTCGCCTGATCAGCAAGACATTTATAGGCTATTGAGTAATAAGATGTGTGGGTCTGGTTCGATGGCGAGGAATGTGGAAGCTGTAATGATTAATTGTGACCACAGGAGACATTTTTTGAAGTACAGTCAAATAAAAAAGAAAAATACTTTTTTGTTGGGAAGAATATGAAGGAATTTGAATATACTTTTAATTGTCATAAATGCTATATTTAATCATTTATACATTTGAAAAGCAGAGAAAAAGAAATAAGAAGAGGATAGAGGACAATTCGCCCAACTAGACCAACTATGGATCATTTGGTTAAAACACAAAAGAGAAATGACAAGACAATAGAGGAAAAAATAGCAGATAGCTTCCTCTCCATAACATAACGATTTTCCGGAAGTTCCCCAGTGCTTCCTGTGGGCCCTCCACAATAAAACAAAACAGTTAGTACAGAATACACCACAAACATTTAAAAGGAGGGGATGGGTGGACATCAATATAGTGCCCTTTAAATCAGATTTCCTGGCAGGACAGATTTATAAGGATATTTTAGATAATTATTGGAAACGGAAGCTGATTTTATAAGTATTTATCCATTTATTCATTGTATAATTATATTTATTTTCACTTTACATGGCCTTTCCCTGCAGCTGGAGTCAAAGCTGAGAGCAACTGTATGCTGAAACAACATTGGAGTGTTACACTAGGCCTGGGAAGACGATGGACTAAAAGAACATAAAAAAAAAAAAACATTAAGGAAATCCTTTGATAGCTGTGCAGATGCAAGTATGCAATGAAGTGAAGTAACTTACCAGCAATAAGTAGCTACTTGAAAAATTTTATTTACTTCCACTTTTTAATAGAATGAAACACATTTGAAATCAGACTGCTTTTTGTTCACCTCAGTACTCAGGCTGAATCTGCCATGTGATACAGAAGGGAAAGGCCGTGTGTTGAGCGTCTGAGCACAGTGTAGCATGTGTGAGAAGAGGGAAAGGAGAGAGGTGAGCAAGTGACTACAGAGAAAGAACAAAAATCTGCAAAAGCACACAAAATGTCGAAACAATATTGACTATGATTGAATTAACTGATATGATCTGCGCTACTCTGATTCAGATAGTAATAATTCACCACTTGATGATAAGTAGTTTTACAAGTAAAATTATAAGAATCATAATATATATATATTCAGATCACTTTGTTATATTCTAGTATTATTAAAAACAGATGTAGTGGCAATTGTTTGTCAAACCAAACATCCAATAAAATTCCAATAAGCCACTATAGGCACTGGGGTCACGTTTTCTTGACGCAGGCAAAAGAAGTGGAAGTCCAAACTTGTAGATGTTCAGTTGATTTATTTCCTATATTTTGTCACATTACAGAGTTCAAACTTTCCTTGCCCTGTTACCTCTCTTGCACTGATAAAAACCCATAGGCCCCTAACCCAAATGCCTGCTGGTCCTTACCAGGCTCCTACAATTATAGAAAGTGGACCGCCCACATTTCTTCCTGTTTTACATAAAATAAAGAAAAATAATAAAACAACAAAAAATAGATGCACAAAAAATGCAACAATTAACCTATAAATTAAGTCTGTAAATAATACAAAAAATATATAAGTTTAGGAATTAACACAATTCAAATGGATAAAGAAATAAAGAATAAATAGCTCCAACACTCCGGCCCCTAATTGTGAATACTGTCACAATTACAAATGAAGAAAAAGGAGCTATTCCCTCAAACATGTCCTTAATTCTTCAGGTTGATGCTTCCAGTAGCAAAACAAGTTTGGTCACGGGTCTTTCGAGAACGCTGGTCTTTGTTTGTAATCGCACAGAGCGCACCAAGCCTTTTACATCCTGGTTTACGCTCAGGACCTTGGCCATCATCCATGTTCCTCTTGGAGCTGTAGAGTCTGCAATTAAGACAACATCTCCAGGAGTGAGACATCGTTTAGTTCTTGTCCATTTTTGTCTTTCCTGCATCAGAGGTAAGTACTCAGAAAGCCATCTTTTCCAGAACAGCTCTGCCATGTATTGCACCTGTTTCCACCTTTTCCTGACAAAAAGATCCTTTTGATTGAACAATCCTGGTGGCAAAACTGGTTTGGTTTTTAACAACAACAAATGGTTGGGTGTTAGTGCCTCAAGATCATTTGAGTCATCGGAAACTTTAGTGATGGGTCTGTCGTTTAATATGGCTTCAACTTCACAAAAAATAGTTTGAAGCCCTTCATCATCCAAAACTTGCTCTTTAAGAACTGAAACCAAAATACTTCTTATGGAACGAATCAGACGTTCCCAAACTCCACCTTGGTGAGAGGCTGCTGGGATGTTAAAGTTCCATTTAATTCCATCCTGCACAAAAGCATTTTGAATTTTAGCATGATTCAGTTCAGCTAAACTCTCTTTCAGCTCTCGATTTGCACCAACAAAATTTGTGGCATTGTCAGATCTGATGGTGGAAACTGGGCCTCTTCTACAGATAAACCTGCGGACTGCATTTATACAGGAATCTGTATCGAGGGTGTAGGCCATTTCCAGATGCACTGCACGGCTGGTGAAACAAGTGAACAGAACTCCATACCTTTTCAGGAGGCTTCGTCCTCTTTTAACACTTACAGGACCAAAGTAATCCACTCCAACATTTGTAAAAGGAGCGGTGGCTGGCAGGACTCTTTCTTCTGGCAGATCTGCCATCTTTTGTTCAATAAACTTTCCTCTGTTACACCTGCAAACAACACAGTGAGAAATGATTTTTCTGGCAGCTGAATTAGCATTTATTATCCAGTATTTTTGTCTTAATCTTGACAGCATATGAGCTCTTCCTGCATGTCCCAACTGTTGATGAATATGGCGTAAAATCAGTGTAGACACATGCATATCCTTTGTCAAAATTGCAGGATGCTTTGTTTCGACAGGCATGGCTGATTTATTCAACCTGCCACCCACTCTGAGGACTCCAGCATCCAATACTGGGTCGAGTTTGTATAAAGAACTTCTCTTAGAGACTGCTTTAAGGCCACTGGTGATTAAAGCCAGTTCAGTTGTAAATTTCTGTTGTTGTGCAAACTGAATAATGGCTAGTTCTGCCTTGGCCAAGTCTTCAGGAGTCAGATTTTCTTTCTTCAGAGTGGTCTTGAATCTGTCTATCTGCTTGTCTAGGGCTTTGTTTTGCTTTTCTGGTTCATTTTTATTTAGGTCTGCAGCAGCAAACTCCTTCCTTTTCTGTTGCAACAGCATCAGAATGTTTTTCAGCTTTAAAAACCAGGCAACAGAGGTTTTAAGCTTTGTCCAAGATGAAAAATAATGAATCAGATAGCTTGTAGGATTTTGTGACTCCTTTACAAGAACACTCACGGCTAGGTCCCTTTTGACCTCTGGGTCATCTGCAGGAATTGCATGGTGATCCACATCCAGTTTAGGCCATTCCTCTTCTGATCTGTGGAGAAATTCAGGCCCATTTATCCATCTCCTGCATTTAATGAACTCCCCAGCTCTCATGCCTCTGGATGCATCATCTGCAGGATTTTCCTTGGAGGAAACATATCTCCACTGATTCACATCTGTTGCTTCTCAGATGACAGAGATCCTGTTTGCAACAAAGGTGTGAAATCTTCTGGTTTCACTGGAGATGTATTTTAGTACTGTTGTACTATCAGTCCAGAAAACAGGTTTTTCCAATTGTATTTGCAGCTCCTTTTGCAGCAGTTTATTGACTCGGACAGCAAGAACAGCAGCGGTCAGTTCCAACCTGGGGATTGTTGTTTGCTTCATAGGAGCAACTCTTGCTTTTCCTAGAATGAAAGCAACATGTGAGATGTTATTCTTTTCCAGTTTTAAATATGACACTGTTCCATAGCCGTCTTGACTTGCGTCAGAGAAATGATGAAGTTGTGCTTTGTCTGGTTTCCTGATGCAGCTTGGTTTGATGCAAAGATCCACCTTAAAACTGGAGATCAGCTGGAGGTCCTCCAGCCAGTCGAGCCACTTCCTACAAAGAGAATGGGGAATAACTTCATCCCACTTCAAGTTTTGTCGACAAAGTTCTTGTAGCAGCAGTTTAGCTGGCATACTGAAGGGAGCTAGGATTCCCAAGGGATCATATAGTGAACTAACCACAGACAAGATGCCCCTTCTGGTCTGTGGGCGGTCCTGCACAGAGGTTCTGAACTTGAACTCATCTGTTTCGATGCTCCACTGTAAACCCAGTACTCTCTCGACCGGAAGTTCATCTGTGTCCAAATCCAGATTCTTAATTTCTTTTGCTCTCCTTTCCTCTGGAATGGACATGAGCACTGTGCGACTGTTGCTTACCCATTTTGAGAGCACGAATCCTCCCTTAGAGCAGAGGTCCGTCAGCCTCTTCACCATGTGAATTGCATCTTCTTCTGTGGGAACAGATTTTAAACAGTCATCCACATAAAAGTTATTTTTGATAGTATCAACCACTTCAGCTGGAAACTGTTGTGCGTTATCATCAGCAGTTCTTTGCAGAGCATAATTTGCACAGCTGGGTGAAGACACTGCTCCAAACAAATGAACCAACATCCTGAACTCCTGTGCAGGTTTTGATGTGTCACCATGATGCCACCACAGGAAACGGAGGAAGTTGACGTGTTTTTCAGAGACATAAACTTGGTGAAACATGGCATTAATGTCAGCCATTAGTGCAACAGGCTCTTTTCTAAATCTAATGAGAACTCCAACCAGAGAGTTTGTGAGGTCAGGTCCTTGTAAAAGCTGACTGTTCAGTGATGCTCCTTTGTAGGTTGATCCACAATCAAATACAACTCTCAACTTTCCTTTTGTGGGATGATGCACTCCATGATGAGGAATGTACCACAGTTGTCCATTACCTTTCTGTAGGTCCTCTGCTGGTACAGCCTCAGCATGTCCTTGCTGCAGCATGTTGTTTACACATGCAGTGTATTCCTCCTTGTACTCAGCATCCTTTTCAAATCTCCTTCTGAGGCTCTGGAGGCGCTGCTCTGCAACACAGATGTTATTTGGAAAGCAGGGGCTTTCACTCCTGAAAGGTAAGTCAATATTATAATGACCTTTAATAAGTTTTGTAGAGTTATTGACAATGTTCATGAAATGCAAATCCTCTCTAGACATTTCAGTTTTCTCCTCTGATGATCTTTCGTTAAAATCATGATTGTACTGTTTGATCAGCATTTCTTCAAGATGCTCAACAGAGATCCTGTTGGCTGTCACAGCAGTGCAAACATTTCTATTTTTGCTGTGGCTTCTAGTGCGCAGGGGACCATTTATGACCCAGCCAACTTTAGTTTTTACAGCATAAGGCCCACCATCTACACTGTTGATCACCTCCCAGGGCTCTAAAACATTTGAAGCATCAGTTCCTATCAGTAGTTCCACATCTGCATTGATGCTATGAAGCTTAACAGGTTTAAGATGAGGCCACTGATCAATGTCCTTTTGCTGGGGAATATTCAATGTAGAAACTGGCATGGTACTTTGAGTCAAAACATCTGGTAGCTCTATGAAATCATTTGTTTCCAATTCAGAGATTTCCAAACCAGACAAAATTTGTACATTAACAATCTTATTTTGACTCATTGTTCTCAGCATAATATTTGTTCTTTTGCCCTTTAAGTTCAGACTTTTTGCCAGAGTTTCTGTACAGAACGTACCTGAACTTCCTGGATCAAGAAATGCATAAGTTTGCACAACTTTGTTGCTCTTTTGACTTTTAACTTTAACTGCAACAATAGAAAAAACAGCATTATCATCATGACCAGCCCCAATATGCCCACACGTCTGGGTGGTTGCAGTTGAGAAGTTGACATGAGACCTTGTTGTCTGTTGGATTTGTTCTGAAGAGGCTCCTGGCTCCTTTTGCTCTATGTGAAGAACCCCCGGATGCTTTTGGTGACACACATTGCAATCCAAACGACTCCTGCAGTCTTTGCTTGTGTGACCAACTTTCAGACAACTGAAACAAATCCCCTTTTGTTTAATGAAAGTCAACTTGTCCCGATGCATTTTAGCTTTAAACTGCACACAGTTTTCAAGTAGATGATTTCTTTGTAAACAAAACAAGCAGCTGTGAAGAACAGTAGACTTGGTCCTGTTTTCAGTTGAGTGAGTTCTGGCTTCTGGAATTGTGCTGGCATTAGTGGCAAAACTGCTTCCCTTTTTTCTTTGCTTGCTGTAACTTGGAACTTTGGAGTTGTTCCCTGTTGGTGGGTCTTGGATATTGCCAAACACTGGATCTGATGCTACTTTTACTTCCTTTGTTATGAAAGCAACCAGATCAGTAAACAATGCTCGGTGACCAGTTTGCTCCTGTAGCTCATAAGCAGTAACTCTCCATTTTTCCCTCAGTTTATATGGAAGTTTCAGGACAATTGTTCTCATATTTGAAGGTAAATCCAACTCCTTCATGTAAACAATTTGTTGTGTCAGATTTGAACAACCTTGAAGAAAAAGAGAGAATGATTGTAGACTTTTCACATCATCCCCTTTTATTGGTGTCCAACTCATAATCTTCTCCATATACGCAGAAGCGATTTTATTTTCATTTCCAAAATGTTCTTCAAGAAGATATTTGGCTTTGGAATAACCTTCCTCAGAAGCTAAGTGTTGACAACTATGCACGAGATCTTTAGGCTGCCCCCTGGTGAACTGCTCTAGGAAGTGCAAACAGTCGCTGCAGTTGTCAGTTTTAGCCTCCACTCCGTTCTCAAAGGCATTCATAAATGATCTGTACTGTAGGGGGTCCCCATCAAACACAGGGATGTTTCTGGATGGGAGAACAGACGATAAGTTTTGTTTTACTAGTAAGGCTGCAATGTCATTTTGTCTTTGCATGATGTTCACAATATCATTCTGACAGTTCTCAGTCAAAGGAGGAGATTGAAATTGCGTCTGCTCTGTTGCTTGAGTTGAAGAATCAACTTTAACTCTCATCTGATCCATTTGAAGTTGTCTCTCTCCTTGTTTAAGTCTGACAACAGGAAAGTTGGATGAAGACTTTTCTTTTTCTTTCAGAACAAAATCATCAGCGAGAGGATTTAGCAGGGGCGTGTGCTTTCCTTGGGCTCTTTCAAAATAAGAGTTCATTCCATCAGATTGTTTAGAACCAGCAACTGAATTTATTTTTAATACATTAAGTTTTGCGTTAGTTGCTGCCAACTCTGTTTCCAGGTCTAACTTTTCCTTTTCTTTTCTCAGGTTTTCCTCTTGAGCTTCGATCAGATGTTTTCTGTCCAACGCGGCGAGTCTCTCCATCAGCGCTGCCTTTTCAGCCGCAGCTTTAATGCGTGCAGAAGAGGTGGATGAAGCCCGAGACTGCTGTGAAGATGTTTTTGAACGTGGCTTTATGCTTGTAATATTAGAAACACTGTCTTCAGGATTTATTTCATCAGGATCCTCAACAACCTGATCATCAACATAGGTTTTCTGTTCCGTATATGGATTTCCTGCTTCTGTCAACCAAACCTTTACATTGTCCACAAAATCAGAGAAAGCCATCACCTTAGACTGAAAATACACAGTTTGTCTTTTCACTTCTTCTTCTGGCAACGGCAAACCTAAAAGTGATTCATGTAAATCAGTTGCGTCTTGATAGCATTTAATAAACTTTGCAAAGTCAGAAGCCACTTTTTTAACATTTTCTTGTGAGGTCATTGATGCAGAGATTTTCTCCATACATTTTGAAGCTTGTTTACACTTTAAACTTCGTTTTTCTTGACATGTTTTTATATAAAACTCCAAACCCTTTTGTGTAAATTTGATGGTTCTTTTGTTTTGTGACGTCTGGGTGTCATCCTCTTTGCTCTTTACATCAGACATTTTTGCAGATTCTTTGGATCATTTCAAACATTTAAAGCGTCATAGTCCAGGAATAATCCACAAGGAAAAGCACAAACGTATCTCTTTGTTTAAAGAGATTGATTCTTGTGAACAAACATTTCCATGATGGGCGTCGGCTCACGGCTTGATCCAATTACGCATCAATTTGTCACATCAGACTCATCTCATCAGTCTTTGGAGTGAAATAATGTCTTTAAACTCCAGTAGTTTCACTATTTTCTTTTATAGCTTGAACAATATTGTCACGTACCAGTGTGATGAATGAGTGACGTGTCCATCCAAGTCTGACGCATCAAGTCGCTTGATTTAATCAAAGATGATCCAAAACCTTTTGTTTGATGGGAATCCTTAAGGTCCATAAATCCAGCATGTTGATTGATGAGGTATTCCTTTTAGTCCATGGGCTGGTTCCTTACATGTTCCACAGGGTGTTTTTACTTGATCGAAAGGTGGGTTTTTACTTGATTGTAGTGGCAATTGTTTGTCAAACCAAACATCCAATAAAATTCCAATAAGCCACTATAGGCACTGGGGTCACGTTTTCTTGACGCAGGCAAAAGAAGTGGAAGTCCAAACTTGTAGATGTTCAGTTGATTTATTTCCTATATTTTGTCACATTACAGAGTTCAAACTTTCCTTGCCCTGTTACCTCTCTTGCACTGATAAAAACCCATAGGCCCCTAACCCAAATGCCTGCTGGTCCTTACCAGGCTCCTACAATTATAGAAAGTGGACCGCCCACATTTCTTCCTGTTTTACATAAAATAAAGAAAAATAATAAAACAACAAAAAATAGATGCACAAAAAATGCAACAATTAACCTATAAATTAAGTCTGTAAATAATACAAAAAATATATAAGTTTAGGAATTAACACAATTCAAATGGATAAAGAAATAAAGAATAAATAGCTCCAACAACAGACATTGCCCACTAAACTATCCCCCTGCTGTATAACAACACAAGGAATGTGACAGTGTCAGTGGCTCTTGAGGCACTTAACTTAGCTGCAGTCCAAGCCTTGTAAATCTCCCCACTCAAACATGCTTTGATACACATAACTCTCAGGGCACAGATATCAAGATATCTCAGTTGCTTCCCCCAAACACATTTCTTTTCATTCATATCCATGCATAAGTTTGTGAAAAATCAACATTTTTAGCAATGACCTCTTGTGACTTACGACATTTTTGGAGAGTCTGGTTGACAACTGTGAACCTAGCACTCTTTGTTAGTTATTTAATCCTTTATTGTACTGTAATTTTCAGGGGAAAAAAATTAATGTTAGGTTTTCAGTGACTTTAAGCTAGAAAATAATAAACGTAATAAAATTTAAAAGCTGTTACTCCATGTGTTTTACTTTATTTTAACTTCTCAATTACTGCTTTTCTTTTCTTTTTTGAGGGAGTTGCTTGTCTTTCTTCTCTTTTCCTGTATTCCTGTATATTCTGTATAATCTGTATGTAGCTCCCATATTCATATTTATATTTATACACAACTTTTTACAGCCCCTAACTTTTACTTTTTGCTTGTACATACACCTGTAATAATATTTATATCCTGTGAAGCACTTCTGAATAGATGCAAACCACATTTCCTTGCTTTGTACTGGTGACAGTGCAATGACAATAAAGTTGAATTCTAATTCTATTCAATTTGTTTTGTTTTCACCTATATTCTGATTTATTGACAGAAATTTTTATGTCAGATATTGCTGTCAGTGGTTCATAGACTTTCTGCTTTGAGGTGTTTAAAAGCATAGAATATAAGTCTAGAGAGATTTGGGATGAAAAAACAATCTTATAAACCTCTAATTTTGGCACAAAGTTCTTTCAAACCTCCCATAGAATATGCTCCGTTAATGTATCTGATATCATATTAATCCATCGATTATTCTGCTCCGGTGGTTATAAATGCACACACACACACAAGAAGTAGGGGGCAGCGCGTGTGTCAAATCTCCAGTTACGCAAAATACGCAGATAAACCTCTCCAAATTAAACGCGCGCGTTCTGGTGAGATCGAACGAAGGGAGAGTATGGAGGAGCGAACGTCACATTACTTTCAGCTTCCATAGCATTTCTTGGGCTCTCTTTTTGATTGGGAGGCTGCGGATTTATTCAGACGCTGCTCGGGAGGAGGGGGAGGAGGAGGAGGGATCCCTCTCGCCAGTTAAACCAACTTCTCTCTGGGACCTAGAGCCCATACTGCTGAAGCGTCGCAAGGGATGAAGACGCATGGATTCTGCTCCTTAAATCCCACTCCGATGAAAGGATATTCATAACTACTTTGTGTTTTTCACATGAGAGGCTGTAATTGGTGTTTGAAATAAACCCACCAGCTGGCTCTCTCTGATTTCCACATGTCTTTTCCAACCATTTGTACGAGAATCGGGTCATGAGCACATCGCCCTTGGTGTCTGTCCTGAGAAATAGCACGAATCCAGCTTGGGAGAGCGGCTCATCGGTGGGGAAGAAGGGAGCACCGGAGATAAGCCGTCCGTCCTTTCAACATAGCCTTTCTCCAGCGGATCCTTCTCGCCAGGCCGGCCGTCTTCCCATCAAGCTGCTGAAAATGCTCACCGCTCGGGCAGGACACATTTTACACCCGGAGTACCTCCAACCTCTGCCGTCCACTCCCGTTAGTCCGATCGAGGTGAGAATTTTAAGCAAATTTAGAGGATATGTTTTGCTTTTAAATCACTGGAAAGTAAAGCTTCCGATGCATATCTTATAGAGAAATGTTGTCTTTGACTTTTAGATGTTTTTATACGCTTTGAATATTCCAGTCTGCTGTTAAGTTGGGAATAATCACACAAATTGACAACTATTTAACAAGTCTAGGTCTATTGATTAAAGTGCAACCTGCTCGTCTGAGCAGATTCTGAGGAGTTCTGTTTTTCTCCCAGATAACTTTATGCGCAATGCGTAAAATACGTAAAGCTGTCATGAAAAAATGCATTTAAAAATGTTAATGATTGATTATATTTCTTTTTTTTTTTATTTTATTGTCACAGTTGGATGCAAAAAAGAGTCCGCTTGCCCTTTTAGCCCAGACTTGTTCTCAAATCGGCAAGCCAGACCCTCCGTCCTCCTCCAAGCTCTCCACGGTGGCATCCAGCGCATCGAGTGACAAGGAGGCCAAATCCGGTCCGCTGAAAATGAGCGACATCGGAGCTGAGGACAAGTCCAGCTTCAAACCCTATTCGAAATCTTCAGAGAAGAAGGAGTCGTCGAGCAACAGCATCGGTGGAGATAAAAGTGGTTTCCGGGTGCCTAGCGCCACCTGCCAGCCATTCACTCCCAGGACAGGCAGCCCCAGCTCCTGCACCTCTGTGTCTCCTCTACCGTCGGAGGGGAAAACCGGGGACAAGGAGGAGAAGAAGGAGTCTGATTGCAATAAGGGCACGACTGATTGCAGCGGAAGCCAAAGGATAAATGGAATTACCTCTGACGACAGCACATCTGGATCCAAAGCTGCTACATCAGACTCCGTATCTGTAACCTCCTCCTCCTCCTCCTCCTCCTCTGTTCTCGGACTGGTGGCCCCAGTCTCCCCCTATAAACCTGGACACTCAGTTTTTCCTCTCCCGTCCGCGAGTATTTCCTACCCTGGAAGTTTGGCTGGAGCATATGCGGGTTATCATCAGCCGTTCCTCCCTCCCGGAATGACCTTGGACCCCAGCAAACCCAGCAGCCAGCTGCTGAGCGCGCAGTTTGCTGCGGCCTGCAGTAAAGCTGGATCGAGCCCGCTGGCTGGAGCTTCCCCGCCGTCTTTAATGTCCGCCAGTCTGTGCAGAGACCCTTACTGTCTGAGCTACCACTGCACCAGTCATCTGTCCGGCGCGTCAGGCGCAAATTGCGCACACGACTCTGCTCTTAAATCCGGATACCCGCTGATGTACCCGACGCACCCTCTGCACGGCATGCATTCCTCTGCTCCGTCCTTCAGCGGGCATCCTCTGTACCCATATGGCTTTATGCTGCCCAACGATCCATTGCCCCATGTGTGTAACTGGGTATCTGCTAACGGACCATGCGATAAGCGCTTCTCCTCCTCAGAGGAGCTGCTAAGCCATCTGCGGACTCACACTTCCTTCGCTGGGACGGAGAAGTTGATATCCGGGTACCCGGGCTCTACCACGCTCGCGAACGCAGCTGCAGCCGCTGCCATGGCCTGTCACATGCACATCCCTTCAAATGGCAGCCCGGGCAGTCCAAGCGCGCTGACCCTCAGGGGCCCACATCACCCGCTCGGACTCAGCGGCCGCTATCACCCCTATTCAAAGAGCCCCCTCCCCGCACCCGGGGCCCCTGTCCCGGTGCCCGCAGCCACGGGCCCCTATTACTCCCCATATGCCCTGTACGGACAAAGACTGACAACAGCCTCTGCCTTAGGATATCAGTGAAGAATTACACATTTATACAAGATTAATTTAGACCCAATTAGTTTTATATTGGGACTGAATCCATGTTGGGATCAGTGTATTTATTTGCGATAGCTTCAAGCGTGACTAAAATAAAAAAAAACAATATTATAAGATACATTTCAAGAGCCTCAATGTCCTTTATTTTACACAGGAGGGGTTTGAATTTAGTGAATGAAATAAATACATTTGTGCTTGTTTTTTATTCTGAATTAAAAGTTCGTTTTAAGGTTTTTACTCTGAAGTTCTAAAAACTCTATGGGGAAAAAAAGGAAATTTATCAAAACAACGCAATAATTCAGATGTTAAATCAATTTATTTAGCTGAAACCAAAATATTGCATAAAAAACACTTTTTTAATGGATCACACAGTCCTTAAAACTGCATATTTGTCCTTTTTTATTTTATTATTTTATTTAACTTTAATGGTTCCACATAATCTCCACTTTAATAAAATCTATAAGAAATATAGGTTGATACAATTTAACTGTTTACAAAAAAGTCACAATGTTTTTTTTTTGTGTTATAAACTAATTCAAATTCGATGGAAGATATTATTTCACACATTTATTTACAGGAAATTACAAATGTTCAAAATGACAAAAAAGGTTGTAATGCCAGAAATATAAAAAAAAAGTTACTATCTGTATTTAAGTACAATATATAAATTTTCTCTGAAAGCTCTAAAAAAAAATTATGTTGAAATAATAAGTTATGGGTGATGGCATCCTCTCAATCAATCATTCACATCACGTTTAGGTGATCATCTGATCAGTAGCTCATTAATTAACCTCATTAATTAGAATAATGTGTCTTTGTGTTGGATTTCAAAAATCATATTACGCTGATTTAGAAAAAAGTTTCCAACACATCACATTTCTATCTATATTTCGACATATACAAATTTAAATGTTTTTTTTTTGTTGTTTTTTGCCACCAATAGACATATGAATTGAGGTTGCAGAGGGGATTAAAAAAAAAAAATCTTTAAATAATGTAGTCTATCCACTTTTTACCAAAGTTTTGATTCTATGAGTTGTTATCAGGCACTGGCTGGTACTTTAACTGCTTTAGAACAATTTCTTTAAACCAAAATGGGATTGTGTAATTGCTCTTTTAATTAAAAAAGCAATAGATAGACTATAGAGAACAAATAGAATAACCAGCCTTTTACTTTAATCACAGTTTTTAAGTGTTTATTGCCCGGAAAATAATGTTTTTGTCTTTTATGCTCCTTACAGAGTAACACTATTATAAGAGGCTGAAATGAGCTGCTTAAGTAATGGGGTTTTCTGCTCCGTTAAAGTCTGGAGTCAGCTGCTGAACAGACTGCCTAAAGCTTATAAATGTGTGTTTGACCAGGGTTTGGTTTTTTTGCATTGCCACTACTTTGCTTGCTGTGCAATGCTGTTGCTATTACACATCTGAACTCACAGTTTGCCTATTTGAACTACAAAAACTGAGGCGAATTTAAAAATACAGAATTGTTAGAAAAGTCTAAAATAACTGTTTTGATGTGGTTTTCAAGTCAGAGTCGTTTGCACATATGTTGATATAAATTAAAAACAGTCCTTTCGACGAAGAATTTGTTCTCAGCTGTTTTGAAGTTTAACATACTCAGAGATGCTACTAAATGCTCTTCTATAAAATATTTCACAATATGATGAAAATATAATTTATTGAAATGTCTCTCAGTTATAATAGTAGATTGTGACTTTACAGAGCTTGGATTTAATGAAAAAAAAAATAGTTATTGGAAGATATTTCAGAGATGAACAGTTTGTAGGAAAATTAAAAGGTTGACAACAAAACCCTGGTCTATAGTTCTGAAGCAGCAGTACTTTAATTATGAGGCACGAGTGGGAGTGTGTTTTCAGCCAGCTGACCTGCGGTGTACAGCATTGAGGGAGGACCTTAAATTATCTGATTTGTTATCCAGAAAATGCTTGGCAGTAAATACCCGTTTTCCAATGTCTATTGAATTTTTAGAGCAGCTTGCGTACACCGAACTATCCGAATCTCCTATTCATCTTTCTGATTATCGATTCTGTTTAAGACAGCTAAGCGTCTACTATGATCAAGTGAGAAACCTTTAAACCAAAACTTACAGTGGAACAGATTTTAAATGCTTCCAGAGCTTTTTCTGATTGCTTTAATGAGACAGTCCAGCACAGAGCTTGAACAAGTTAATCAGTCTCTTAAAACAAATCAGCTAAATCAAGCCAACAGTGTCATAATCTATCCTCAGTAGATCAGGCTGCTCTACAGCAAGAAAAATTTTTTTAAAAAATCAGTGCGGTCAGATGTCGTATTCATCAAACCCACCCATCCGTCATGCAGATGAGGCCCTAAACATAGCCTGGTGATAGATGGCAATAAAGCCACGATTCAGCACTGCAGCCAGTCAGCCATGAAGCCAGCGTGAATCGGAGATGTGATGCATTCCTTTTTCGCTAAAAACAGCACCATTAACATGATGTGAACAAATGGGCCAGAGAGCTCAGGAGACATTTCTCTGAGGTTAATTGATGTGTGACGCCGCAGTATAGATTCACACATGTACCGGCACATAAACTTGTCAGCAATTTATTCTGTAGGTTTTACTAAAATGTATTACAGGATAATTAATTTTAACTTAAGCAGCCGAAGGAAAGTGTGTGTGAGATTCAATGGTGTTTAGGTTCATACGAAAATGGCCGTTCTGTGCTGTGTGATATCATGCATGACATTTAGAGTTTTACCATTTATAGGATAACTAGTTAGTGATAAAATAGCACTGTTCAAACATATCAACACTGAGATTCAACAAAAAAAAAAATTAAGCTTAAAAGAAAAGGCTTCAAACAAGCGTGCAGGATCAGAAAGCCAAGCTTAAATAATATGCAAAAATAAAATTAAAAACTGAAAGAGATGCAGAATATTCGACAACCAAAATCATTTTCTCTGAAGCAACGTAACTTGACCTAAAGATTAGAAAAATATTGTTTTTTTAAAGGAAATATTTACACAATTCTTTCAAAACAGGCACCTTTACAATTGTGTGTATATCTCTTTAATTTAATAAAAAATCAATAAGACATTCACATCTTGCACAATCCATAAAACTAAAAAGGAGTCCTATGTGTGAGTTAATGAGAATTAAACAGTAATGTTAAATGTGTGGAAACTATCCATAATGATTCAAATTAAGTGAGATTTAAGTAATTTAAATTGCGGAAATCTTTCTAAACCTTTGTTACCAAAGAGCGAAATTAAACAAGCACTTCCCAGTCGGGAAAAGAAATAACACCTTAGAGTAGCAAATATGTTTCTCATTCAAGTTAACTTGCATTTGTAGAAACAAGCCTAATTCAAACATCTGTCACTAGATCAGGGGAAAGTTTCAAGTAGGGAAAACCTCAACTATAAAGACTTAAGGCAACAAGTAAAGGAGTGCAAATGATCCTAAGTGTCAGGTGGGCTCAGGACCCCAATGGACCCTAAAAGAAACATTCAGAATGATTGATAATAGCTAATCTCTGCTGTCATAATTGTTTTAATGGGATTCAAACCCTGGTTATAAATTGCTGCGTGATGTATAACTGACTAGTAAATGTAACGAATCACCTATCCCTGTTGGTGACAAATTGGATGCCACTGCACATTGTTTACCGTTTTATGTGATAAAGGTGAAAAGTGAGCCTATCTTAGTAAAGAGCGTTAGTCCAGTGTTAGTTTAGTTCATTTAAGTTCATTTAACTGTCTCTAATTGTTTATTGGAAAGTCAAAATTTGAAGCAATACAGTTCTCCCTTTAAATTACATGAATCACAACTAACAACTCCCCCTATTTTTAGTGTATTCAGTTAAATTGAAAAATATTTTAAAATGGGGAATTAAATAATGATAACATTTGCATCAACATGTAGCTGTATGTATATTTTCTTTTTTTTAGTTTGACAAACAAAAACTGGTAGAACCTTCATGCAGCAAGAAGGTCTTTGGTTAGATTCCCATCCTGGGGTCTTTCTGCAAGGAGTTTGCATGTTCTCCCCTTACATATGTGGGTTCTCTCTGGGCATATTTGGCTTCCTTCAACAGTGTGCAAGTATGACTGTTAGGTTGCATGGCATCTCCAAATTATGAGGGTGTGTGCGCTCCTGTTTTAGAAAAAGATTGAGGACCATTTTCAGTTTTTAACCTTTGAGGTGAAAATATTTTTGCAAAGCGAGCAGGTTTTGGCCGGTCCTCACAAGCTATTTTACTAACCGTAAGGTTTAGGGCTAAGGTGTCAGTTGGGTTAGGGTTAGGGAGAGGTACACATTGGTAAAGCTAAGTTTTAGTGTAACTTTTAGCATTGGGGCATACATATAGCAAGACAAGAGCGTGTGTGGTTGTATGTCCCTGTGATGGACTGGTGACCACCACAGGGTTTACCCCATCTGTTGCCCATAGACTGTTAGAGCTAGGCATCAGCCCCCTATTTCCCTGAAAGACAAGCAGCAAAATAATGGATGGATGGAGCGATGGTTTGATAATACATTTAAATAATCTTGTAATTCCTTCAGTCGCCACTAACCAACAGCACATTTTTTCCATGCTGTAGTCCTTCAGGAGAAAAACAATATCCAACTCAGTGGATCTGGATCTCAAGGCAAACTGGAAATCAGAATCAGAATAATCCAGGAAAAATTACATGAGATATTTTTTTCATCTAATTCAGTTGGTGGTAAATGTTGTTTGCTCCAGTGGAAAAATTGGTTGCACAATTCATAGTAGTCTGTTAGAAGCTCCTTTAACAGCAATAGTTTCTCCACAACACAGTTTTACAGGATACCACAATTCACAGACAGGGTAGGCTTTAGGTCCGGTTGCTCCTGGTGGGGTTTTTTTTTTTTTTGACAAGTTAAATATATTAATGTTGATTTGGAAATACATTGCAAAAAATGTAAATCTAAATAAGACATTTTTTCTTAAAATGAGTGCATTCTTTCTTGAATTAAGGAGGCAAGTGAGACACTTTGCCAAAGGAACGAGACAATCTACATTTAAAATAAGAAAAACAACAACCGCATTGTCTAATTTCAACTGCATATTATCTAATTATCTTATTCTAAGAGTATAAATACTCATTCCATTGGCAAACAATCTTATTTACCTGCTCAAATTATGAGTAAATTCAGTTAATTTAAGAAATGTTTTACTTATTTCTAGATTGTTTTTGCAGTGTATGGTTTTCGACTATTATACTTGTTATTC